GTTAACTCCACCTTCATATATCTGATCCTTTTTTTGGGGTGGTGATGGAACGTAAGGTATGACGCACAGGAGACCCGGGTTCAAGTCCCATCTGTGACACCAACGTGTCCCTGAGCAAGACACTTAACCCCTAGTTGCTCCAGAGGCGTGCGACCTCTGATATAAGTAGCAATTGTAAGTCGCTTTGGATAAAAGCGGCAGCTAAATGAATAAATGTAATGTCTCGTCTAGTCACATGTTTGTTTCTTGTCTTGTAAGTTGATTATGGTAATCTTGTATTGAGCACCATGGGCCTTGAGAAACGGCACTGGGTTCATTGTGGACTCGATATGTGGATGAATGACAACAAACAAATTTGAACTTACGGCCAAAAAACGTCCTGCTCAGCTTCCAGACCGCAGTCTGAAGAGGAGACGTTACCTGTCGCTAACTGCCTTCACTTTTCCAGCAGTTGGAGAACAGACAGACTTTAATTAACGGACAAACTGTAACCTACACTGTACATTTACAGCCAGACCGAAACGTAGCGCTCATATTTTCCTCTGCTCATTTTCACCGTCACCTACTGCCACCTGTCACGTAGCTGTCCTGTGAGGGAGGAGAGGACGCTAGCTATGTGCCACCTCCGCCCGCTGCCTCCCTTCACCCCAGCGTCCCTACAGAACGTTAGAGAACGGAGATGCTTTACTACACAGCTAAAAATGGAGCTTTCAACACACAGGGCGAAAAGAGGAGCTGCAGTAATGTGCAGTATAAAAAATGGTATTTTTTAAACATAAAACCATGTAAACCTGTTCTGGTACAACCCCTAAATAAAATTATAAACCTGAAAATGAGCATAATATGACCACTTTAACTAAGAAATCTTTGAAATGCTTTGTAAAAGGTTTATTTGCACATTAAGAAAGCATGCAGTGCAATGTAAATATAGAAGAAAGAAATGTGAAACAAAAGTAACTAACTAAAAAACACAGACCAACTGATTCTAAAATGACCCATAAACATGCATGATCAATAACTTTAAATATCTTGAAACAGTTTCTTCTTGTCCAAGTTTTCCATTCTCTCCCTGTGAACATGACAAACTGTGTGTGTGACATTTTGTTTCTCTAATGTTGAAAAAGTTTGCAGCATAAAAACAACCAGGCAGTTTAACTTAACATCTAAAGGTAAGGTTGATTTATTTTCTTTACCTAACATTGTTCATGTTATTCTTTAAGTTGTTTCTATTGTCATATTTAGGGCAGTGACATTGAATAAGCCTGTTGTTATCGCTGGGCTGACTTATATACACTGGTGCTTTCTTTATAGTAGATGTGGTTTTGGTGTTTGCAGGTGTGGATGTGATGTATGACGGTGTTACTTGTGCGTATTTATGCTCATGGGTCTCTGTGTAGTAATATTACGAGAGTATGGTCTAGACCTGCTATGTATAAAAGTGTAATGAGATAACTTGAATTAATTGGCACTAAATAATACTGAATTAAACGCGTTGAGTATTTTGGTATTGTTGACTCTTTAGTAGCTGATGCTCTGCCCTTTTGATGCGCCATTATGCAAAATCTTTCCCAACCTGCTTACTGATCCCTCGTTATTTTCCCTAAAATCACATTTGCTGAAGACCATTTTTAAAAAATGATTTATCTGAGGCCTCATGTCCCCACCACTTTTCAACACAAAATGAAGCCCCTGTGTTTCAACATGTTATAATGTTGACAGACATGTTTTCTTGTGAAGATCTGTAGCCTTTAGGGGAGAGCGGGGAGATTTGAGCCTGTGAGGAAGTTCAGCCACCCCTTGTTTCTCTGCAACCATAGACAAAATTGGTCATGTGACCAAACATTTTTGAAGAGTCGTCCATTTTACTCACCCTGCAATGGAGAGAGGCTCATGGAATAAGAGAAAAGTACATCTAAAATCAAAATACTGTTCAAAGTGTTTTTTTATGTCCTGATTCTTGTGTCTGAACAATTACAGACAGGTTGCGAAAATCTTCTGCATGTGTTAGTGCTTTAGGAAGTTACAATATGAGGCTGTACTGTTGACATGACTTTACCCTTAAAATGCTGGATGACACAATTTTGGCAGGGATGGGGTAATTTGTAATTTGAGTAATTTGAGCAACTGGGGGGAAGTTGAGCCAGATATTTTACTGTAATTTCAAATTGCATTCTTAAGCATCACGGAAATGATGTGACATCATGCATTTTAGACCAGAAACCATCATGCTTCTATGAATGGAAGACAGACAGGCTTCAACTCCTCTTGTGGGTTTGGACAGAGCAGTGGGAGAGGTTAAAAAATAGGAAGTCCTTTCATCAGGTGGCACGGGACATGATGATGAACAGGATGACTTTAAAGCGATACATTGATATGAAACAACTAGGAGACATGGCTGCGATGTTTCACTATCTAAGTGCAATTGAATGTTGGGACCTGGTGTTTGAGTTTGTACATTTACATTTAGCTGACATTTTTAGCCAAAGCGACTTACAATTGCTATACATGTCAGAGGTTGCACGCCTCTGGAGCAACTAGGGGTTAAGTGTCTTGCAATGGTGGATGTCTCTCGGTGGGAATTTAACCCAGGTCTCCCACACCAATCTTATCTATGCGCCATCACCACCGCCATCATTCACAATGATATGACATTATTGTCACCGACCCCCATGTGCCTCAACTTATCCTCTCCCACTTTTTTTTGGAAAACCATATTTTGAAAACAGTTTATTTTAGATCTACATTGATTATTCCCAGGGATGCAACACATCCTAAAATATATGCACATACTTTAGTTGGAGACATTACTGTCATGTCCTCAGTTTAAAGACACCCTATGTGTTAGTGCCAACAGCTGGTTCAGCTCAAAATAATGGACACACGATGCATGTCATATTTAATTGACATTGATTTTAAAATGGCTCAGAGGCAAGAACATCATTTGTTAAATGCCTGTTGCCTCAACTCCTCCACTTGCATCTTGGGTGGGAGGGATGTGAGGAGGTGAGGAACTGAGAAATGAGAAAGGCCTTATGAATAATGTTGTCCAAAGTCAGCCTGAAATAGAAAGAGCTGATCACAGAACACACAATTTCTCACACTGATAAATAAAAACAAAAATCCTAAATGATCTAATGAGATTTTTGTTCTCTAAAAGCTTCAACTACTCGTGTAAATGTGCTGTTATTTAACTGCAGTGGAGTCTTTTCTCTGATGAGCTGATGTTGATATGGAAGTTGTCGATCAGTGGAGTCTGACAGAGGCAGAAGGGTCTCCATCGTTTTCATAATCTGTCACATGTTCCTCCAGCTGACTGACCAGAGAAGGAGTGTTTATGTGGTACCCCAAATCCAAAATGTTCCTCTTGACCACTTCAATACAACACAGTGAGTCCTGTTTCTGTTTGTCTTCTATCTATATCTACACTTCAGAATGAAGAGCAGATGTCACAAACACTGGTTTGCTGTGTAAAGTACCAACTGTAAAAACATTATAAACTCACTGTGTTTTCATCCATCTGTGTTTTTGTCCCTGAAAAGAAAAGAGAAAGAGTCGACTTTAGTTTCCACAGTGAAAATCCAGCTTTATCAAAACTTCCTGTTTCTGAGTTTCATCTGTGAATGTTCTCACCTTTAGTTCTTGTCCAGATGTTGACTGCCACAACAATTATTATGAGTGCTGCTAAACCCACAGACACAATGATGAACCTCCAGAACGATTCTGAAAACATTGTAACTGCACAGTCTGGAAAAGAAGTGAAAATACATTTGTTTAAAACAGTCAGTAAAAGAGAAGAAAAATACACGTTTCAAAAACGTTCCTTTCTTGTTTAAAGGACAGATAAACTATTAGTAAACATTTATCACTAACAGTATATCTCAAGATGCCCACATATTTTTGAAAATACAATCTGCAAGTGGTTCTAAGGGATAGTGGGTTACAGTATAAAACATACTACATACGTAATCTGCATGGGACCACAAAACATTTTATTTTCTTCATGAAACTTATTTCTTCCTGCTGTTGTTTTAGTTTGATGTTGAAGTAACAAAACCAAAGTTAAGAAAATAACTCTTTTCCATCTTCAGTAAATAAATGACATATTCTATATAATATTCTCCACTTGTTTCTCACATGAGGACCAGTGGGTGAATTTGCATCTAGCGCCATCATCAGGTCTAAATTAAACTTCTCTAATATTTTCATTTGGGAATTAGACCTTTCCCATCAGCCTCAGCTGTACTTTGTAGTACCTGCTCATTAGCTAACACACAATAAGATTGTTAATTTAATATTAAACATTATACCTGCTAAACATTAGCATGTTAGCATGCAGACATTAGCATTTAGCTCAAAGTATCAATGTAGACTTATTTGCCTCATTAATGAATATTTAAAATATTTTGGAAAACATTTTAAGACAATATAAGAAAATCAAACCCAGTTGAACTATTTTTTCTAAAATATGAACAAGTTCCATATGTTTCTATGATAAAAATAATAATAATGTGTAAATGGTGAATGTTAATGTTCCATTAGTGAAGGTGAATTGATCGCTCAATGTTTGATCTTAAGATGTTGGGATTTCGTAGTTGTTGCAATTGGAAGCAATGAAAAATCTGTTGGAAACAGATAAACTCTACTCTACTCTAGTAAACACAGCAGTTACAATGTGTGGGAGGAGCTCGGAGACTGGGAAAATAAACATAAATGGTCATTAACTATACAAGAGTTCGCCAACATCATCAAAACATACAAGACTGCCACTGTAAATATGCATCAACATATTAACCAAATATACACTATTTGCGTAAATTAAATTCTCAACTCTGAGATTTGTTTTATGTTGAATATATAGGAGTAAAATATATTGTTTCTCACCTGCGTGTGGTGGTGGTGTTGTTGTTGTTGTTGTTGCATCCTCATCTGAGAAATTTAAAAAAACAAAACAAACAACTGTTCATTTAGAAAGTACCTCATGTTTACCATCTGCTGTTACTAAACAAGAAAGAATGATGTCATCTTTAAAAGTCATCAAATAAACAAATGTTTTGGTGGTTTTAGTCATCTTGAACAGCTCAGCATATTCTCACCTGTTTTCTCACCTGAGGACTGAGGGCTGAAGGTGAACAGCTGCACTTTTCCAGAGTAACCATCTGTCACTTCACACTTCAAGTTAGACTTTGATTTGTAAATATAATGAGAATCCAGGAAAGACAGAGTAGAGTAGCAGTATCCAGCCTGCCCTGTCCTCATTCCTTGGTTATCGTCATCCACATCTTTACCCTCATACAGCAACATCACTGTGTGTCTACAGTGTTCATATGTCCACACAGAGCAGGTTAACGTCACCTTATCAGCGTCCTGATGTTCAGTCTCTGGTGAAGATGGAGATATTGTGAGAGAAAGACAACAAGAGTAAAGTTAACTTCATCACTGTGATCATCATTATTGTAATGTTTCAGTATATTGTTCTAACAAGACAGTTTGAGCTGAAAACATTATGATGGAAATACTCACTGATAATAACAGACAGAAGAACCAGAGAGTCTGGACCTTGCTGTTGTCCTGATTTGTACTGTTGACAGATGTAAGGACCAGCATCCTTGATTGTGACCTTCTTTATAACCAGAGAACAGTTCTCTGTAACACTCAGTCTGTCTGATTTAGCTTTGGTGTTTTCACCAATCTGCCCAAATCTAACCAGCTCTACTCCCGAACGCAAAAAGAGCCATCTAGTATATCCACATTTTTGCTGACCGTCTATCACATTTTCACAAGGCAAAGTGACGTCATCTCCAACTCTGACAGTGAAGGAGAGGGGAAGTTTTTCAGCTGCTGCTGTTGAGAAAATGATGAAAAATAAAGTGAAATGAGAAAATGTCTGTTATGTTCATAGTTAGTGACGATTATTTCTTTATCCTTAGTTTCCAAGAGTTCACTAAACTCACCACATTAGAAACAACAGATTTGGTTTTCTTAGTTAAATCAAATGTAGCTAATAAAGAATCTTTAATAATATTGATCAAGTTATTTTTTACAATGTGCCTTCCATTTATATATGTGATATATGTATTCTTACCTGTAAACTGAAGCACCGCTGGAAGAAATAAAGAAATCCATTTGAACTCAACCATCATGATTCTCTGAGTCTCTCCTTCTTCTGTCTCTTGTTCTCGTGCTCAGAACTGTCTGAGTTTCTAAACTAGTGCTTTAGTAGAGACGCTGCAGCTACTTCCTGTGGTTAGGATGATATCACTTCCTCATAGTGAGTTTTTGGCTGTTTTAGATTTCAGTCTCTCTGAATTTCTTGTCGATGTCCAAACAGCCAAAAACTCACAACTTACAAATTTATCACTTTTACATTTTTGAAATGTAGTTTTCTCTCATCCACAGTGACTGACAGAGACTCGAAATTCTTGATCAGCAATATGAGATGCAGCAGTCAGTAAAGAGGTCAGAGGTCACAGCAGCCTGACAAAGATCCACCATCTACAAACGCATACAAAGTCACTGATTATAAGTCAAACCACTATGTTTCTGCATTCACTGAGCCAATCTAACACTGAAACTGTAACAAATCCTCTCAGCTCAAACTTTATGTAGTTGCTGCTTTTTCAGTTCACTAACTCTCGTGTCATTTCACATTCCAGTTTTTCCTCCTGCCTGCAGCTCATCATGCAGCCCCTCTTCACTTGCCCCTCGCCAGATTGTTGTGTTTTCTGCCCAGCTATCCAGGGTTCTGCCTGACCAACTAGTGTTTGACCCTGTTAGCCTGTTTCCCCAGACCTTGTTTCTCCTGCCTGTTTGGATTCGTTTGCCTTCTTCAGACTGATTATCTGGTGTTCTGACTCTGCCTGTCTGTATCAATTGAAACCGAAGTTTTTATATTGCCCGTCTCTGAGTCATGTGTCTGTCTTCAATTCGGCCAGTTTCCTCTGAAATGTGACAAACAAACTATTTTAAGATTCATACCGAGTCTCAAGTTCTCACTTTGTCCAGTCCCACGGTGTATATTTAACAATGACGTGTTTCACCACCTGAAAAGAAGTGGAGGAAGATGAAGGTGTAAAGATGTTGGTAAAGATAAATGTTTGCAATAGTGCAACTTGTGTTCTTTAGATAGTGTCGGGGATTAGGGCACATGTGGTCAGGCAAAGGAAAAAATGTGCAGCAGGAACATTATGTTCCCTCCTGTGTGGTATTGTTTAAGACAGAATAGAAGTATATTTATGTAATCTGTGCAACGGTGATCAGTTAAAAAGGAGTTACAGTTAAGCTACAAAGTGCCCGGCACATTACCAGTCAGTAAAGAAAGAAGCTGGTTTGGCGGGCTGGATGTTCGCTGGTAGGTCCGTTGTGGATTCAGTCTCTAATTTTGTATTCATAAGCTTTATTAGTTATTTAAGATGATCAAACTTTCTGCCCCTCACAGTTTGTGTAGCTCCTCGTAAGGTGCTGTTCTAACCACATTCTTTAATGACGTTTCATTTTGATATTAGTGATGTTTCTATTGTTGAATGTAGGTTCGTGATGTCAAGGCCGGGTCAAACTATATTAAGACTGATGTTCACACTTTGTCTTGTCTCACAGTGTGTTTGTGGCAATGACGTGTTTCACCACCTGAAAAGATAAAGCAGAGGAAGTTGAAGATTGCAAGTTAAGATAAAATGTTTGCAATAATGCAACTTGTTGTCTTTAGATAGTGTTTACTAGAAAACAGACAGCATTCCAGCGGGTCGGTCTTACAGTCCATGTTTGTCCTGCTGATGAGAAAATCTGTAAACTTTCAGACAACCACTGCATCTTTCTCCTTTCTCACTTTTCACTCAAAAGTCTCTGTGCTGGACCAAAAGTGGGCTACCCCAAACACTGTAAAATCTAACACGATTTTTCAACCTAAAAATATGAGTGAAAGGGCTGCCTTAAAATTTTACCTTAGGTGAAATAACCCAGTTTGTTCTTCTAACATCACAAAATGTTATGTTAAATAAATATCCTGTGGTGTGTAAACCTTTAGCTTGGTTGATGTGCATTAGTTAGTCTAATGAACTAAGCAGATTAATTCATCTTAATTTAAATAATATGTTCTGTCAACATCGGTTGGAGGTTCAGTTGACTTGGCTTTGTCAGTTGCTTTAACTGCTCATGGTAGTTCTTTCAACTTTAAAATTTATGTTAGCTCAATTAAAAAGGTTTATTCAATTAATAAACAAATCCATTTCAACATAACTAATGACTTGTTGAGTTAACTCTACCATTGATTCAATTGTATACATTTACTTAACTACATTTTCAGTTATTTACACTTCAACATACATTTCAAACTGGCTATTTGGGTTGGGCCGATAGATGATGCCATCGTCTATCGGCGATGGCTGACAGATGGTCGATGGTTGAGCAGGCATCGTGATTGTAAAACCTTGCCCCCCCAGCGAAAAACAATCTAAATTTTTCACATAATACTACCCTGTGAAAGCAAATCTTAATCACCGCGAACATTATAAATTTAAAACATGCTTCGCACCGTCCTCAGATTTCTCTTCTCTCCACACTCAGACACACCAGAGGCCTACACCTCAGTTACACACACCGGCTTGCCCCGCCTCCGTCTCCCCCTTTGCCCGTCAGCAGTACGTTTTATAAAGTCGCCTAAAAGACACAGAACTCTTTTCCCGTATTTTTCCACGCGTGATCCGTTAGCAGGTGAGCCTCTTGTGGGCTTGTTAATGACGGAGCCTATCAAACAAGTGAAACCAACATCTGTGTGTTCACTGCTGCTTTACCTGGTCGTGCTTGTAAAACATCCACCACGACTTGTAGCGTCATAGGCTACCAAGTTTTTAACCGAGTAAAGTCCGTGCGAGTGAACACATGCACATAAGATCCCCATCTGAGCATCTGCCCCCGATGCCATCGCCCATCCCGATGTTTCAATGTAGACGTCGCCCAACCCTACTGGCTAACTGACTTTAAAAATTTAAATTATGCTATACCCTAATGAAGATCACTTCAATTAAAAGGATGATTGCATTTTTAATGAGAAACATGACAAATACCAATATCCATGCACCTTAACATTTATTGATCAAAGATGACATTTACTTCTGACAACAGAGGCCAAAGTCTATCACTTTTTCAACCGGAAGGTTCAGGGTTTAGGATCTATTGGTAGAAATGTTACGCAATATTCACAGTTATGTTTTAGTTAGGTGTCAAATTTCCTGAAGATAAATTCCTGGTATCTTAGAGTGGAAGTGGGAGCAGATAGTTGAAATTTGAAATGACATTGCTGTTGCCACAAAAATGCTACACACTGATCCTTTAAAGACCATAACTAGTCGGTGAACAGCCACAGAAACATACCCTATGCCATCAGCCATATATGAACAGATAAAAACGTGTGCAGTCTGCATAGAATAGAAAACACTGAATGGTAACACAATATTAGTTTGACAATAAAACCATTTCCAAACAATGATGGTGTTTGCTATACAACTCAAAATGATGCAACTGTTCTACATTGTGTGCCAATAACACTATACAAAACAAAGTGTATGAATTTAAGCAATGAAAATAAATACTGTTAAACTGCTGAGACAGTACTGAATGCTTCAACACTGTCTACTAACAGTATTTTACTTCGGCATAAAGTGCAAAACCTTCAGAGCACAACCGTACATGGTTTTTTGCAGTTTATTTCTTAAACCATGCACAAGTGAGGAACACTGTCCTCCACCAATGTTCATGAGGACCTTTTGGGATGACTTCAAAGATGTACCTCAGTTCCCTTGGATAGTCTATGTTGAGAGCAAAAAGAAAGCCCATCAGTATGGCAACGGCATTCGGGACGTCCTTCAGATCCGAAGGGATCACTTCTTCCTCGAGGACCACCAAGTCTTCTGTCTTTCACCATCACAATGTCGATTTTCATCCCATTTGTAAATGCATCCTCGTCATCTGTGGACTACAAGAGAGTACAAAGAAAGCCAAAAAGCATTTTTTACTATCTTTGTTCTAGCAGTTTGTTTGGTAGAATCTACATGGAGAGTCAGAAAGTCAATGATTGAATCTCATTAAGAGTAAAAACTGAAGAGAATTTTTTGTAATACATTTTTTTGTAAAAGTAATAATTCTATTTATCGACTGATTCAAATACCACCTACATTTTTATACATATAAATTCATAAAATTAAGCATGAGAAATGGTGCTAGCTTTTGATGAAATTAAATATGAAAACTAAAATATAAATCTTCCTGTTTGCTGGCATCTGTCTGGTGCACGTGATGATGCAGTGAATATTATTCTCTTTGACCAATTAGCAGTCCGTCGTGTTTTCACGTTACATTTTAGTATCCCTCAGCTTGCTTGGAGGTGATACAAAAAAAAAAAAAAAAGTACCTGGAAGCAGGTACAGGTGCAACATTTCTACAATGGACACCCAAACAAAGGCGAGTCGAGCCAAAGGGCCTCCACTCAGACTAGCTTGGTTTGAGGGCGTCCCTGACCCCGCTAGCCGCTTGGCAAACTTTATGACGTGTTTTCATTGACATCAAAACAAACAAACAAAAAAAACCCCAAGACTGCCACTGTAAATATGCATTTATGTTTTAACCAAATCTACAGTTTGTTTTGTGTTGAATACATATAAGTAAGCTACTTTGTTTCTCACATTCATGTGCTGTTGTTGCATCTTCAATTAAAACCACCAAGGAAAAACTAAACTACTGTTCAGTTAGAAAATCCCTCATGTTTACCATCTGCTGTCACCAAATGAGAAAGAATGTCATCATCTGAAAAAGTCATCTGTCAGGGTTGTGTGGTGAGCAGGATATAGGACCCAAATGCAGGACGCAGTGCAGAGCAGGTATAGTTCAACAGGTTAATTAACAAACAAAAGGCGAACACACTTGCTGGCAGAGTCCAAAAACAAGGTAATCCAAACAGAATCCAAAGAAAGCAGGGAACCACGACGAGCGGGGCAGGCAACATGAGACAGAGCGTAGACACGCGACAAAGACTGAGGGAAACAAGCAAGGATATATACACAGGGTTAACGAGCTGGGAGGAAGTACACAGGTGAGGGACATGAGACTAATGAGACACCGGCAGGCAGAGAGAGAGAGCAGGGGAAAACAGAGACTGACATGCAGAGGCATTACTGGGGTAACAGACACAACACAGGTTACACTAAACACTAAGACAAGAACCGAGACACAGAACGAGGAGCTAAGACACAGAGCTAATCCTAAGATACACATACTAAGTAAACTAAAGATGTGGATGAATAAAATAATAAACAAAGCTACACGGAGACTAAAGCAGAAAGATTAAAGTCATAATGAACTAAACAGATCAGAACCAAACTGTACCAGACCAACCAGCACAAACACACAGAGTAAACTAGACACAAGAAACACAGACTAACTATATAACAAATACTGGACACAGAGCAATAGACAGGACAGAACCCAAAACCCAACATACTGTGAGACAGATACTAAAAAGACTACAAATAACATGACTGACTGAAAACTAAATGAACAAAGCAGAACAGACACGCCCACAGTGTGACATCATCAAATAAACTAATGTTTTGGGTGGAACAGCTCAACATATTCTCACCTGTTTTCTCACCTGAGGACTGAGGGCTGAAGGTGAACAGCTGCACTTTTCCAGAGTCACCATCTGTCTCTTTACACTTCAAGTTAGACTTTGATTTGTAACTAAAATGAGAATCCGGGAAAGACACAGCGGCGTAGCAGCCAGACTGTGATGTCTTCATGTCTTTGTTATCTTTGTCCACATATTTACCCTCATACAGCCACTTCACTGTATGACTACAGGACTGTTGATATGTCAGCACAGAGCAGTTAACGTCACCTTATCAGCGTCCTTTTGTTCAGTCACTGGTGAAGATGGAGATATTGTGAGAGAAAGACAACAAGAGTAAAGTTAACTTCATCACTGTGATCATAATTATTGTAATGTTTCAGTATATTGTTCTAACAAGACAGTTTGAGCTGAAAACATTATGATGGAAATACTCACTGATAATAACAGACAGATAAACATGAGAGTCTGGAGCTTGTTGTCGTGGTTTGGACTGTTGGCAGGTGTAACAACCAACATCCTCGACTGTGACCTTCTTTATAACCGGAGAACAGTTCTCTGTCTGATTTAGCTTTGGCGTTTTGAACAATCTGCCCCAAATCAATCAGCTCTACTGTTGATCTGTTTCCCAAACCAACAAAGGTCCATGTAATTTCCACATTGTTGCTGACCGTCTATCACATTTTCACAAGGCAAAGTGACGTCATCTCCAACTCTGACAGTGAAGGAGGGGGGAAGTTTTCCAGCTGCTGCTGTTGAGAAAATGATGAAAAATAAAGTGAAATGAGAAAATGTCTGTTATGTTCATAGTTAGTGACGATTATTTCTTTATCCTTAGTTTCCAAGAGTTCACTAAACTCACCACATTAGAAACAACAGATTTGGTTTTCTTAGTTAAATCAAATGTAGCTAATAAAGAATCTTTAATAATATTGATCAAGTTATTTTTTACAATGTGCCTTCCATTTATATATGTGATATATGTATTCTTACCTGTAAACTGAAGCACCGCTGGAAGAAATAAAGAAATCCATTTGAACTCAACCATCATGATTCTCTGAGTCTCTCCTTCTTCTGTCTCTTGTTCTCGTGCTCAGAACTGTCTGAGTTTCTAAACTAGTGCTTTAGTAGAGAGACGCTGCAGCTACTTCCTGTGGTTACGATGATGTCACTTCATCATGGTGACTTTGTTTTAGATTTCAGTCTCTCTGAATTTCTTGTCAATGTCCAAACAGCCAAAAACTCTGTTAAAACTCTTGAAATGTAGTTTTCTCTCATCCACAGTGACTGACAGAGACCCCAAATTCTTGATCAGCAATATGAGAGCAGCCGTCAGAGTTCACACTTTGTTCAGTCCCACGGTGTGTTTATGGCAATGACGTGTTTCACCACCTGAAAAGAAGAAAAAGAGGAAGTTGAAGGTGTGAAGATATATATTTTACTGGTCTGAGATCTGCTGGTTCCACAATGTATCTTTGTAGTTATTTTTGTTCAGAGATCCGAAGAGGAAGTGTTTCTGTGAGAATGTGGTTAACAGCAGCAGCAGAGCTCTGGAGGTTTTACCCTCTGATGATGACCAAATAAACATCAGAATCACATGTGGTTTTCTGCAGGCCTTGTACTTGTTGCAAAAAGAAAAATTGCTTTGCATGTAAATTGAACATGTCACCATTGTTATCAGGTAGCTGGTTGATGTAACATGACACTGGAAGGTTAGAGGTCCTCCAGAGGGAAGTGCACAAGAGGAGGGAGGTGGTTCTACTAGTAGAGGCAGAACATTCATAGTAAAGAATATTCACTTTCCATTATGACACTGTTTGTACATGAAGGAATCACAAACACAGTGTAGAATTAAGTGGTAAACATTTCTTTATTTGCAGATTATATTATCAGATATAATAAAGAGGAGACTCTTACTGACGCCATTAAGGCTGAAAGTCCATCAAAGCCAAACACATATACATCCAACAAATTTGTCAACAACAATGCTAAATGAAAGTGAATTAAAGTTCTTCTGTACACAGAGACACGAAACTGAGCTCAAGCTGCTGTTGCTTCAAACACAGACGGTAAACCTTAAAATCAGGTCTGTGTTATGGGGTTGTGTGGTGTGGAGACAGAGAGGACCCAAAAGCAGCACCTCTGAGGGAAGGAGGTTTATTGAGGGATAAAGGGTGAGAGGACTGGAGTGGAGGGAGAGGTGGATGTCGGGGAAACACAGGCACGGGGAACCAAGGAGACGGGGAACACTGGGGCCGAGGTAGCGAGGAGCGGTGGGAGGTCTGAGGAGGAGAGGGCCGGTGGATGAGCCCAGCCGACTGAACGGAGGACGAGGGTGAGTGTACCTGGGAGGGAAACAGACAGAGAGACAAGGTTAGAGATAACAGAGACAAAGCACGGGGTAAATGTGAGAATAAAACAAGAAACAGGAGAGCCTGAACGTGGGGGTGGCACCGGGTATGGAGCAACGACGATCAAGCGAGGATGGTGTGGAGAACCGGGGTTGAAATACAGGCAGGGATGAGGTGATTACTGGCAGGTGTGGCAGGCTGACGAGGTGGCTGAGGAGATGCAGGTGCAGGTAGTTGGCTGGGCTCAGGAGCAGAGGGAGAGAGAGAGAGAGAGAGCACACAGGGGAGAAAACACAGGGAGGCAGGCAGGGAACAGAAAACCGAGGAAAAAGCAGAATAACTGATAAAAAGGAGAAAAAACCAGGACACTCACCGTCAGCCGGGCTGCTACCACAACATGCGGGCGGCTGACATAATATTCTCATGTCCTGACACAGCACTCACTCCACTCTCACTCCATACTCACGCCTCTGTTCAGAGAGAGAGAGAGAGAGTGAAAGCTGAATTTAATTGAGAGAGAGATGCAGTGGTTGTTTGAAAGTGTTCTCATCAGCGGGAGAAACGTGGACTATAAGTACAAGGTACAAATAATAACAATAATTATTACATCATTTAATATAAATCTTGATGCCATTTCAATCCCCAACACTATCTAAAGTACAGAAGTTGCATTATTGCAAACTTTTATATGAACTAACAATCTTCACACCTACAACCTTCATCTTCCTCTTCTTTTCAGGTGATGAAACACGTCATTGTTAAATATACACCGTGGGACTGGACAAAGTGAGAACTTGAGACTCAGTATGAATCTTAAAATAGTTTGTTTGTCACATTTCAGAGGAAACTGGCAGAACTGAAGATAGAAGCACAACTCAGAGACAGGCAATATAAAAACTTCACTAGATAATCAGTCTGAAGAAGGAAAACAGACATGATTGCAGGAGTAGTAGTACAAACACTAGTTGGTCAGGCAGAATCCCGGATAGCTAGGCAGAAGACACTAGACAATCTAACGAGGAGCAAGTGAAGAGGGGCTGGTACTGTAAGTACTGAGACTGATGGGGAAAATGAGGTGCAGGTAAGGAGACAGGCGGGAACAACCAGGTGAGGGGATTGGGGTGATGACCAGGCAGGAGGAAGAACTGGAATCTGAAATGACAGGAGAGTTAGTGAACTGATCAAAAAAGTAAAGACCAACTACATAAAGTTTATGAGCTGGGAGGATTTGGGACAGTTTCAGCTTTAGATTGCCTCAAAGAATGCAGAAACATATTCCTTTGCCTTATAATCAGTGACTTTGTCGTATGTGTTTGTAGATGGTGGATCTTTGTCAGGCTGCTGTGACCTCTGACATCTTAACTGACGGCTGCATCTCATATTGCTGATCAAGAATTTGGGGTCTCTGTCAGTCACTGTGGATGAGAGAAAACTACATTTCAAAATGTAAAAGTGAAAATTGTAACTGAGTTTTTGGCTGTTTGGACATTGACAAGAAATTCAGAGAGACTGAAATCTAAAATAGACTAAAAGTCACTGTGAGGAAGTGACATCATCCTAACCACAGGAAGTAGCTGCAGCGTCTCTCTACTAAAGCACTAGTTTAGAAACTCAGACAGTTCTGAGCACGAGAACAAGAGACAGAAGAAGGAGAGACTCAGAGAATCATGATGGTTGAGTTCAAATGGATTTCTTTATTTCTTACAGCGGTGCTTCAGTTTACAGGTAAGAATACATATATCATATATAAATGGAAGGCACATTGTAAAAAATAACTTGATCAATATTATTAAAGATTCTTTATTATCTACATTTGATTTAACTAAGAAAACCAAATCTGTTGTTTCTAATGTGGTGAGTTTAGTGAACTCTTGGAAGCTAAGGATAAAGAAATAATCGTCACTAACTATGAACATAACAGACATTTTCTCATTTCACTT